TGGCGCTTGCCGTCACCGCCGTGACTGGAAGTGCCTTCTCTGGACCGCTTCTCCTGCATCTGGGCCACCCACTCTTCCTCGGTCAGCACTAGCTTGCCGCTATCCGACGTCACAGTCGCCCTCGTGCGGTCGTCCACCGCCCGCAAGCGCCCAGTCAAGTGCTCAGTGGTGAGGGTTGACATATCAAGCATCGTCTCGATGGATAGAGCGATCTGGGTATACTTGGGCGGGACGACGCGCAGGTGCTTGGAGACCGCCTCCTTGTCGTCGAAGGTGACGCTGTGCGCCGCTAGCTAACTGACGATCAACTGCAGCCAGAGGGAGAAATCCTCCACCGCCTCCCCATCGCGGAACGCCAAGTTGTCGTACTCCCACCGCAGCTGCTGCGCCTTCGCCTTCTTCGTGTGATCAGACCCAACACGCATGGCCTTGAGGGCAGCCCACGCTTCCTTGGCGGAGGCCTTCGACCCCAGTGGCTCCCGGTACTATTCCCCAGAACTATTCCCCATTGCCACTATGGTTTCTACAATGGCATTGAAGAGAGCTCTAGCCTTTTGTGGCACTTGGATTGGCAAACTTGTCCAAGAACGTGATGTATCTGTTTTTTGTGCCCAAAGCCACCAAATGCCGAGGGCACAGCCTAGAGTTTCTAGGTTATGAATTCCAAGACCACCATATTGTAGGGGGCGTTGGACATGTTCCCAAGACACGAGACAGTTTCCATCATTTGCTTTCTCCCAACCCTGCCAAGGAAACCCCCTGTGCCATCTATCAATTGCCTTGATCATCCATTTAGGTAAATCCATAGCGATCATATGATAGATGGGAACTACTATCAAGACAACTTTAACCATGATGAAACGACCAGACTTGTTCAATAAAGAAGCCTTCCGACTAGGGAGATAGTCGGCCACCTTATCAATCAGCGGAAGAAGATCAACTTTGGTAGGCTTGTGAATTGTGAGAGGGAGACCAAGATAAGGTACAGATAAAATCCTTCAAGGCGCAAGACAAGATATCAACAGTTGTCTTCATGTCATCTTTAGAACAATGGATTGGGCTTACCGAACTTTTAACCAAGCTGGTTCAAATACTATGTTTGAACTACTAGAATCTTACTATTACTATTTGAATGCCCTTTGAAACAAACAAGAATTTCTAGAAGGAAACTCCCTACTATTTTCCTATCTGTGATAGTCCCACTACTACTCAGCTATCACTAGCAACCATTTTTCATCTCATTATGCAAATCTATACAACAACATTTTAGAATACATATTATGATTGTTACACTTGGTGTTGGTGCAAGTCATTTGGGATAAATTAAATTGAAACACTAATTATCTAGTCATGAAGACTACAGTGTAGAGTTGGCAAAGTGCATGATACAACGGATGACTCACAAAAGGAAAACAACATCAAGGAGAGAGAAACAAACATAAAACCTGCTTATGTTTTCTGAGTGACAGACACTCTGAGTGTGAGTCTTTGTTCCTGACTCTGACTTACTCTGCAACCCAAAGACACAACCCACAAGTAGCTCCTTACGCATGGGAGCTCAAGTTTGCTCAAAGTGCATGACACAATGAACAACCTAGAAAGGGAAATCTGTATCTACTTTGACTTAGTTAGAATGCTATAAGTATCCAATAGTGTCTCATGTTTCATACACTTCAATTTGAGAGAGTGCATGAGTAGTGAAACCATGTGTTGTCAAACGGTAAAACTCTAGCCACCCAACGCTACACATGACATAGCCCAAAGCAACCTCCCTATAAATGGGGACTGGACTAGTCAACTTGGGTGCTTAATTGAAGGGCCTTCTCTAGTCATGTGCATTCATCAACAAAAGTATCCAAGCAACAAAGCTCCAAGATCTTCAATGGTTCATTTTTGAGCAAGGGTCCACCTAAAGGTATGCCATTTGATATGCTCCATGTTGAGCCTCTAGCCAACCACTGCCGCTAATCGAACCTCGATTACCTCTTCACCAAGTTGGGTATGCCCTAGGGCCACTAGCAAATTACGCACCAACATAGTGTTCGGGTACCTATTTGGCCAAAGAAACCACTCGACATGCCACCTAATGGCTGACTCAGTGATCTCACATCAAATGGAGGACAGCTTGTCACCCTCCATGAGGGCCAACTTTCGACTCGACGCTAAAGGACATTGATTGCACCCCATGAGGGATGATCAATAACCATGAATCACTTAGGGTTCACTATCTTTTGGAAGAGTAAAGGCTTATACATAAATTCCTCACACTTTCATTGTCATAAGCTACTCGAAAGTTAAATGGCACTCCATCTAATTATGCTAAAATTGAGCGGGAGCTTGGTGGATAGACCTAGTGAGTGCATTTTGTCCATATCCATGATAGAAAAAGTTACAAGAACCACAAGACCCTCTAATTGAATCAATCAATTGGGTAGAGCCTTGGGGGCTATACCTCGAGCACCGACACTTGAGGCTTGACGACATGAAGCACCCACGGCGAAATGAAAACTCAAAGCACTCAAGATTGAAGCACTCAAATGCTGAAGCACTCGGGCTCACGCTAGAACCACACGGGCAAGAAGAGCAAGAGAAGTTGAAAGAGCATGGGCAAGAAGAAGATGATTTGTGGCCCTGTTCGCTTGTCTTATAAGCCGTACTTTTTCAGCGAACGAATAATATTTTTCTTTCACAACAAATCAGCCAACAGTACTTTCAGCCATGGCTTATCAGCCAAGCGAATGGTACTGTATCATCTCCCCTATAAAAGGCAAATAGTACCATGTGGTGCAATGCTTCAGCTTCGGTACCTGTTTTGACTTAAAGTTTTGATGGTGACTACCAACCAGGTTCCCAAACACATGGATACACCCAAAGTGAAGGAAATTTGTAATATTCCATTAGTGGGCCACTAGTTAGTCACTTGATCCATTCAGGACAAACATTTCAGACTATTGTCGTGTTCTAACATAAATTACGAGGGCATATATTCCTCCACAAGGACACTAGCTAACCTCGAACGACTTGGGGAAAATAGGCATCATATGCAAATTAAGTCAAAATTAATGGTAGCGTGCTAGGTCACTAGCCAGGTGACCATCTGCTGGAACATACCACTCTGACTAAACCATATTAGCTCACTTAGTGAAATATGCCTGCCCCATGAGCATATATTACTCAACTAATCTTTTCTTCAGGTACTCGCTAAGTCCCTTGTGACCTCTGTGCAAGTAATGAAGAGAGGCACCTAGGAGGACATAACTCGGGATACTTGTCAAAGGGAGGAGACTAAAGTACATAGCTAAGGTCGGGACAACATCAAGACTAGTTCAGTTTGATCACTCCGGCCTGGGGGCTATGGAGGACATATCCAGCCCTCTAGACATAGATTGGGGCAAGTTGACTACCCGGAGTCCTACATGTACATGGGGTATCTCGACCGACATGCTATACATGGCATAGACATATACCTTCAACTATCTATTGAGATCCTTAATGTAATAGGACTAAGAAACCAATCCTAATAGACCTAGAGCATTCTCTGCCTGAACCAATATAAACATGTGTCCTATGTGCTTCATCTAGATTTGCTACTTGCACAACGCCCCACAATAGTTGCCGGTGACAAAAACACCCACTTTTAGCCTGTTCGGGAGGCCGTATCGTATCGTGGATTATTTACTGCTGGCTGGTTTGGTGTGAGAGAAAGACACTGTTCCCGGCTGGAAATTTACGATCGTTTACGAGCAAGCGAACAGGCTGTTTATCTAAGAGGCGATATGACCTCGGGTGCCCCTGTCTATTAGCCATAGTTTACTTTTCTTTTTCTTTTGTTTGACGCTTAGGTAATATAATCAACCAGAACGACAATCAGGTGACACTTAGTTGGCACCATGCACACTTCGGCGCCACAAAAAAAAGGAGATGTGAAGGAAGAAATTAATTCATATGGGGCCACAGCCGTTTTGTGGGTAGAATGGCAATTTTTATAGGACAAATTTTGAACCGTAAGATAGTTTTCTGAGGGATAGAGGGAGTATATGGGTACTGTGTTATTAGAAAATAAATAGACAGAGGGATCTCAAAGATATATAATTTTGGTTAGTTGTAGTTTCTAGAAGCATATTAAAATTGACAAATTTTCTGAAAGTCCAGGATATGTTCAGAATGGAACTTGTTTTATCACAGTTGTAAATGACATAATGATTCAATTCTTTTCCATAATGGACACTTGCTGAGAGACAAAATGCATTTTAGTTTGAAGTTCAAAAATATGCCAAATGGTCTCACCGTCAACCTGCACCATGGCAGCAATCAAGTCTGATATGAAGCCCTATTATGTATTTAATTCCCCGTGTCTAAAATTTGCTTACAGTTCCTTGCGTGGCCCTCGTTTTTTATGTAAAGGGTCATTATAGAGGTGTTAACTTTGGAGCGATAATAAAGATTATAAGTTAGCACTTATTCACCTAAATCTCCAAAGTGTGATATTAAACCCACCAACTACACCTGCACATTAGCTACATGGGCCAACTGCTATTGCAGGCCACGGTATTACACCCTAGGATAGCTATAAAACTTTTTTACGTGATGATCGTGCACAACTTTTCTATTGCATATAAAATATGGATTACTCTGCACCTATGTATGGCTAATTCGTACCCAAAAAATCCATTATTTTGTTACTTGTAAATACAATTATATAGGTTATGCAAATGCCCAGCAAAACATGTTATATATATGCAGTCCAATAAGAAGTCTTACCTTTTTCCCCACATAGTGATTCTTATGCTGGTTGTGGAATAGCTTTCTAATATTTTTGCTATCGCTGTTTCAAAAAAAAAAAAGGTACTTCATTGTAATTGATGGCATGCAATCAACAAAACAGTGGGATGCTGCTATCACCGCCTTCCCCGCGAGATATTAACACCACAATAGTGGTAACAACAAAAATCCAGGGTGTAGCTAAATTCTGCAGCCTTCCCAACTACTACGTGTACAATATGGGCAAACTTAGTGATGATCACTCAAAGCAATTGTTACTAAAGGCAGCTGATCTGGAGCAATATTCGGATTCCTCACTGTCAGATTCAAAAGCAATATTGAAAATATGTGATGGTCAACCGCTTGCACTGAGTACTGTAGGCAAATTCATGCGAAAAAGAAGTTTGATGGAAGGACCTGACTGGGATGGTATTTGCAACCAGCTACGTTGTCATCTGGGGAGCGACGATTCCTTAGACAGAGTGCATCAGGCGCTTATGCATGAGTACACCAGCTTACCAAGCTGTGCTATCAAAGCTTGCTTGCTATATTTTGCTATGTTCCCGAGTGATCATCGAGTCAAGCCCCAAAGGATAATGAGGCAATGGTTAGCTGAGGGGTTTGTAGAACCAGAAAATTCATTGGGTGATACAGCTGACAAATGTTTCGAGGAGCTCCTGGATCGAAGCATTGTCCATCCCATTGAGGTTAGCAATAACAAGACAGTGAAGACATGCAGAACATATGGCATGATGCATGAGTACGTAATGTTCAAATCTCTCTCTGAAAACCTCATTATGTTGTGTGATAATGGCAATTATCAGAACTCTAAAAGTAATGGGAATTTCCAAACTACACAACATCGTTGCCTTTCTCTTCAAGACAGCAGTATATCAGATAGTAGCAGTTTGGACAGTGATCTATCTCTTGTCAGAACTCTGATAGTCTTCGGGAAGGCAGGATCTATGTTGAATTTTGACAGGTACCAACTGCTGAGAGTCTTGGATCTTGAAGAATGTACTGACTTGCAAAATCATCATGTCAAAAAAGTATGCAACCTACTGCTTCTTAAATATCTTAGCCTGGGGGCGATGTACATGTAACCAGCCTTCCAAAGAAGATAGAAAATCTGAAACTTTTGGAGACACTTGATCTAAGGAGAACGGCGATAAACATCCTGCCAAAGGAAGTTTTCCAGTTGCCCCATTTAACTCATCTTTTTGGAAAGTTTAAGCTTCCTGACAAAGCTATACCTTCAGAACAATGTAAGTTGCAGATGGTTAAAGGATTTATTATCGACGAACGCGTAGGGTATGATGCATTTTTGGGTCGTATGAAGAAATTGCACAACGTCAAGATCTGGTGCGAATCATCTGCGACCAATACTAGCCTGACTAGTCTTCAGAAGGCCATACAAGAGTTCATTCGTGATGAGAAAGATGCAAAAAAGGACCGTCGTTCTCTGTCAATCCAATTCGACGCATGCTCAGAAGACTTTTTAAAAGGCTGGGAAGGTCAATACTATCTTAGGTCGTTGAAACTAAATGGTATGTTAGAGGAACTGCCCGGATTTGTTACCAGACTGCGTGGTCTCAAGGAGTTGTGCCTTCAATCAACTAAACTGAAGGCAGCTCTTCTCACAGCATTGGGTACTCTTGAACACTTAAAGTACCTGAAGCTAATCGCTGGCGAACTTGATGATTTTGTCCTCCAGCGCAATGCATTGCCATCTCTTGTCTGCATACGTTTTGTCCTGAAAAGTCCAACACTCCCAAAAATGGAACATGGTGCTATGCCAATACTCAAATCGCTTCAGCTGCTCTGTGATGGTCTAAATGGACTTTCTGGTCTACAAATTAATTACTTCACACACCTGAGGGAAGTAATTCTTGATGCTGGAGTTGAGGTCAACAGTACTACAATACAAAACTGGCAAGATGCGGCTGCGAATCATCCCAACAGACCAAAAGTTATTTTGCTTAATGCGCTTGATTCAACTGAGGGTGCTTCTATACAAGGTTCTGCAGAGTCATGGGCAAATAAAAATGGAGCTGAAACCCATATGCTACCTAATGGATTGATGACTGAATCTTCCATTGCTAGCAACATCACGGTGGAATCTTGAATATACATGACAGAGATTCTGATCCTTTTCGGATCACCATTGCGGTATGTTTTACTGCCCTTCACATTTCCTTCTCATCTAATGTCTAGCCATTCTACTGTTCAAAAAGGGTATCGTAAACAAGGCTGCCTCTATAAGTATCTGTTCAAAAAACGGGACAAAAGTTGCATTCTATCTTAAGAAAATCTGAAATAAATAACTACTATTCTACATTTGATACTTACCGCCTTATCGGTATTGTCAAGAGTCTCCTGTCTTTTGGGGTTTAATCAACCATATCTGCTTTTCATCTCACTGTTTTTAGGTGCACAGTTCTGCAAGTGATTTTTAAATGTATGGAACGTGGAAGGGTTTGTGAAATGTGCTCTGTATGATTGAAACAAAATCATTTTTGTTCACTTTATGTTACTGTGCTCATCAAGTAACAGCAACGGCAATTAAAGACATGAGACAACAAAAACTGCTTGGTGATCAAGCAAGCACCATTCATTGCCATCCCTACAGAAAAATGTTGCTGGTACTTCCATAAAAAGATGAGGCATGATTGTGTTGTGATGGACATTTTGGTTTTGCAGGTGGATCAAGTCATTTGTAATTTTTCGTCATTTTCTATATTCGCTTGCCAGACTACAATGAAGATGACTATATATTCCCTGATGTGTGAAATAAAGAGGACAAGGTGTCGATGTGGACCAAGTTTTTTTCTGCTAGTTTGGGCTTGTGCTGCAATCCATGAAATATACTTTGCATTTAGACGCTTTCTTTGTCATGCTCTCTTATGAATCATGCTGCCTTTTTCATCGTCTCCAAATTCATTCTTTCCACTTTCAAGTGTGCTATCATGTTCTTCTAAACTATTCCACTGTACTATCTGTATTTCTGAAGTGAAGATGATTTCGTTTGATAATTGTGTTGGTGAGAGGCACGCTTGAAGAAATGAGAATCTGAAAGTTGAGGCCCGCAACAGATTATTAATTAATCATTAGAGGCCTTGCTGCACGGCCTACTGATTGTCATATCACTCCGCCACCTCTACATCATACAAGATTCCAAGTTAGTAGTGAATCAAATAATTGTTCGAGAAAAAAAAGTCAATCAAATAATGAAGGAATCGACTTGCCAGAGATATCAAGATAGAAGCGCATTGCTAGGAAATCCACAAGCTTGAAGAAAAATTTAACGCCCTCGAAATCCATCGCATCTTATGTAGGGATAGCAAAGCCACATATACAATCTCCAAGATTGGCTACGGTCAGGACCCTGTGCCAACCGGGTATTCCTAGATGTTAGAATCTGACACCTATACGCAGTAGCTTTCGGATCTTTAAAAGGATAGTGTGACACAAGCTTTCACTATATTAAGAACGAGATGAACCTCGTAGAAAACTCTAGATGACGATGTTGAAGCAACCATGACAAGAGATTGGATTTAACGAAGTCGACTTCAAATTCTATAAGCATAACTCCAAAAGAGTACAAGTGATTCTTGCCCTCCCACTATGCTATTTGACTCTCTAGGACCCCAGTGTTTTTTGCCATATACAAGGATCTAGTGCAATAGAACTCCCATACATGTAGGATTCCTATTCCTAATAGGGCTCTACAGTCAAGTCCTAATATAACTAGAAGTCCTAATAACACACTTCTCTTCAATCCTAGTCCAAATAACATTTGAGTCACCATACAACAATCTCCAACTAACTTGACTCTAATCCTTTGAAGTAACCGTGCCCTCCAAGAATTCGCTCCAAGTCTGCTCTCTTTTATTTATTTACACTCTACCTTGAGAGTGGCCCCACCATAGGGGCTCATGCACATCGCCACAATATGCGTGTCAGTGTCTAGGTTGGAGTGTCTGAACCTTCCGCGTTGAGAGCTCCTTCATTGTGTAGTTTGGTTAGCCACTCCACCTTCTAAGTTTGTACTCTCCCCCTGAGCTCCACGTGCTCACTAGTACTGCATGGTCGGTATCACCACGTCTTCCTTCTTGCAACAACTCCAAGCTTCACTACTATGACTGATAGATTTGCAACCGTCTTTGCAGCCTTGCGCTTGACCTCAATTGAGATTTGAGTACTTGTTGTTGACATGATGACTTCCTTCACCTGATTGGGTTTTTTCACCAATTCTCTCCATGGTTGCACCACCCATAAGGTTTCCTATCACTACGTATCCTCCATTAATCTAGATACTTTTCATAATTATCTGGTCTTTGCAAGTAACTCGCATGAGCCCACCTAGAAATGATAAGCCACAACCTTGGAGTTCTAGAGACCTCACAGATATTATATTTTTTTCAAGCCTAGTATATACCAAACTCCCATCAACGCGAAATGTGTTCCATTATGCATCTCCAAGCTAATTGTTCCCGCCTCAGTGACTGCTGTCGCAGGGTCGAAACCGCGGCAAGCATTGTTGTTCGAGGTGGTGTCAAAGTACGTGTCTCCGGTGGCTCGGATGGACTTAAGAATACAAGAATCACAGAGGGGATGCAATGGTTTATCCTAGTTCAGGCCAATCGATGCCCTACGTCCAGCAGCTGATGATCCTTATACTCAAGAGCACCCAAAATCGGGGGGTTACAACAGAGTTGTGTAAGAGAAAGAGAGAGATTTGGTAGGGGGATAGCTTGGTGCTAATCCTGAGGTCGCCTCACCGCCGGTGGAGCCTTCCCCTCGTCGGAGAGGAGAAGACGACGGGTGCAGTGGAGGAGCTCTCGATGCCCCTCTCTAGGTTGCTCTGCTCTCGGTGCCGAGCAGGAGCGGATCGGTGAGGAATGGAATGATCTGTTTTGGATCGTCCCCCCTCTAGGATCCGACCTATCGCTTATATACAGAGATAGGTCAGGTACATGGCGGTTTGCGGGGTTGAGCCTATGTCTACATGCGCCGGAGTCTAGGAGGGTCTTGCAGCGGCGCTCAATGGACCGTGGCGATGTCGTGGAGTCGAAGAAGCTCTAGGCGTCGTCCGACTGCTCTGTCCTGACACGCTGAGTGTCAGGCTGTGTCGGCTTGGTTCGGCCTTCCCTAGGTGCGCCTTCTAGAGGCTTCTAGGTGGTGAAGGAGGTCGGCTCGAGGGGCTGACGCGTAGGCCCGAGACCCCCCGATCTCCTGGAGGCCACGGAGGATCTTGTCTTCTTGTGTCACGCCTTGTGCATGACCCCATCAGATGAGCGGTTGTCACAGCCACGCCCAAGTAGCAACTGTTGGCGGTCACTAACGACCAAATCCGACCGCCAATTATAGTCCAAAACAGGAGAAATAAACAGTCTTTTGACATATATGCCTTTACTATTGATATAGTTCCACTTGTATTGCAAGATTTCTATTTTGCAGCACTCATACTAGGATACAATGGAATTAGAGTCAAAATGCGGAATCAGAGAAAGCATAAAGCAGATCTTGCACAAAGAAAATAAGCAAAGGCCCATTCAAATGCCAAACCAGGACCGAACACCGACGTGGGAGCCACCCACGCCCAGCCAAGAATCCACCAGAGCAAGGCGGTGACGAGACGAGCCAGCCCGGGTGCCTTTTGCATGACCAACGACGGATGGTATTCAGCAAGTAGAAACTGTGGTTCGTGAAGAGTACAAGGAGGGGATGCATGGGAAAGCAGCCCGTGACTCCACAGTGGTGCCTCGCACTCACTTTCTGCGTGCACGTGGGAGGCGTATTCCGCGCCCCTCTTTGGTCATGAAAAAACACCAGCGCGCCCCTTGTATTGGAAAAGCCGGCGCCCTTATCCAAGCAGTAGACCCCCACCACTCCGTCCCACGCGCCCGTGCTACAAGAAAATTCGGAGACCACGGCGCACGCTCTCTTTCCTCCCTGTTTCCTTGGAGTCACTGACAGACGGAGCTGACTGCCCACGTGGAGAGACACGGGAGGCCACCGGTCCCCATCCATGGATCGTAGACACAGTTTTGGAGCACGACCGCTAGTCATCGGATAGTAATGGCAGTACCAGTACCAAGCTTCCTCAACGGCATAAAAGAAATCGCTAGGACGCTAGCTCGTTGAGCTCTACGAATACTCTATCAGTTCTCACATAAATTAATTTCTATAATCCGTGTCAATCAAATTTTTTAAAATTTTATTAACTTTATAGAAAAAATAACAACATTTATGACATAAAAGAGTACTTATAAAAATATTTTCTATGATATATTTGATAATACTAATTTTATATCGTAAATCTTAATTTTTTTCTAAAAATTTGATCAAATTTTAAAATTTTTACTTCAGATAACTTTAGAAATCTATTTATTGGAGACAGAGGTGTAAAAATCAATAAACATAAAACACCGAAGCATAAGAGCAAGGCTAATAATATAGCCGACTTACTGGCTGTAAGGTTCCTTGCAGCCATCTCTCAGCCCACTCATATAATAGTTGGCTCTTTATAGTTAATACATGGCCCACTTATCTCTCTCACAGACTTTCTTAGTTCTTGTGTCCAAGCCGGTTGTAAGCTTACAGCCTGCTTCTCTTCTCTCTCCTCCCCTCTCTCCTCCATCTCAGCATTTAGTCGGCTTACAGTCTGCTATTATACTTGCTCTAAAGCTGAACCGGCTTTAATGTAACTTTTTTGGAAACTTTTTGAAAAATGTGCAGGCTGGCTATAGGCTGTCCTTTGACTACTTTTTTTTTTCCATCCAATATAAAATCCTCCAAGGCTATCCATCCAGTCAAGAGGACGCCCTAAACAATAATTTATACTCACTCCCTTCGGTAGGAAGTGTCATTCTCCTTTCCTAGAAGTCCAAGATTTTTAACTTTTACTAAATATATATAAAATATTAATATTTATAATATATAATTAGTATTATTGAATAGATCGTTAACTATATTTTTATAATAAATTTATTTTGAGATACAATGTTGTTAATATTTTTAACAAATTTAAGAAAGTTTGACCAGTACGAGTCACGTAGCGACTCTTTTTATGAGACAGATGGTAGTTTTGAAGCTTTTTCAAATGGTACCGCTGCAATTATC